ACCATCAAAAACAGTCTTATCTGTCTTACTGTGTTCTCCTTCTGTTTTCTGATCACAAATCAAAATTTGAAATAAAAACTAATAAAAAAACATACTGTATTTGAATATACATCAACACCAAGAATTAGTAATTTGTTATATTATTATATTATATTGTATTATGTTATATTATAATTAACCATCACTGTGCTTGCCCCTGTCTTCTATAATACTGTAGCAGTTTGACTTGACAACAAGAAATAATATTCTGCATCCACATGTGCTCTGTACTACTACTGCACTGACACTGTGAACATCACATTTTAGGGACAGACACATACACACTGCAAAGACTTTAAGTCCACACTCCAAAGGCTATAAGTAGAGTTTCAGTTCCAAACTCTAAATAAATGTTCTCTTCAAGACCACTGTTCTCTAGTGACTTTTACTTCTGTTCATAAGGCGATGTCAATAGTTGGCATACAGTAAGCAGTGTGTGCACACTGCAGAGCTCTCTGCAGGCTACAGACAGCATTCAAATACTGAGAGTAAGAGCAGCAGCCTCCGGAAGAGGCAAAACTCAGGGCACAAAAGGTCCCTAAAGCATTGCTTCAAGCGACTTAGTCTAGATGAGTCTATCTGCATTTTTATCAACCCCAGGCATTCATAATCAGGAGTGCTGTAGCTGGGCATCCAGAGGAGGCCGTTACAAGTGATTTTTTTTTATTCACTCAAGCTCAAACTTTAACTATTGATTTTACAGTGTAGGCCATTCACCATAGTAAGTTTCTCAGGTTTTACATTTTGCTATATCGATGAAGCACATGAAACTTGGACATACTGTACCGCAAGTCATCTGAAGCATTACTAAGTTTGTACGATGGTAAAATAGGCAGAGCATGTTGTCTAACATGCTGTATTTAAGATTACTATATTTTGAAAGGAGATAATTCAATTTGTGATTTGAGAAGTCATACATTAAACAATATAATACACTTAAAATTTCCTCTAGATATGACTGAATGTGATTAGATCACCATTTTCTTTAATGTGTCTTAGTTGCATTCACAGCTGGACTTAACATGCGGTTTAACAGGACTTTATAGCCGTTTTATTGCCCTAGGCCAGGTGCTATACCACCGCTCTCCTTCTCTCACTCACACATATATAAATTACCTCCACAGTGCCTCTCCTCCTGACTGGAGTGTGCAATCGAGACTTCTGACAAAAGAGAAGAAACAGCAAAGGCAGCACAATTAGTGCCAGAGACCACACACCCTCCTCTTAGCATGACAAATTGTACCCTTGAAGGTGAATGTGGAAATAGAAGCTGTACTCAAAATGTAGCAGGTTATCATAAAAACTCCACGAACTAATCACAGCTGTGGCACCTGGAGAGGTTCATGGAAATAAAGAAAATGAAGTACAAGACACTAATGTACGCTAATAGAGTGTCTTTCCTATTAAAGACAAGGACTATAAGGTAAAAAAGCAAATGGGTGATTCATGAGTAGTATATCCTAATTAATATAGAAAGGTTACAAATTAATGTTCTAATCTAATGTTTATTCTAACTATTAATGATTCATGAAGTCTGAGAAGTTCAGTACTCTACACATGAATATATAACTTTTTTCAAATATATACAGACATTTTATAGCTGTTGCAATGTTCACAGTGGTGTCTTTTCAACATCAAATACATATGATAAAAGCGATAAAAATGTACTTGTTACTTCCAATGTTAAGGAGCACGTCATTTGCTAACTACAGCATGTCAGTTTGTAGGGTTACTTTAAAATAAAGCTCTATTCACAACTAACACATCCACTGCCTACTAATATTGGAAGGTGACCAGGAAGCTATCGGAATTTATGCTAGCAGTAGCAGCTGTCTTGCTCTTTAATAAAACATTATTAATTTGAAGTTCAGGAGCAGAACCACACCTCTAACACACCACTTCCTGCCCACATCTATATCTGCCTCCCCATTCACTGAATCAGCCATTTTTGCTTCATCCTACTATGTGCTCGTTCTCCTCCCCTGTCTCTCTCTTTCTCTCTTATGTAGGGGGCTCTGCTAACCTGGGAGTGGCAGTTGGCTCCAGAGCCTTCTCCACACCACAGACAACTCTGAGATTAACCTAATCAGACATCCCATGCTGATCTTTTAAATTTTGCATCATAATAAATTCTATTAACCTTCCATCTGTGGCATGGTCCTTGATAATTCACTGCATTCTGTGACATTTACATGCAAGCAACCCCAGCCAACATCACCCCTGTAATCTATAATGTGCATAGTAATAGTAAGAAGAGACTGGTGTACATTTCTCCTTATTATACTGGCAATGCAAGGAGTACCAAGCTCTACACTGCAGTAGAGAGCTCTAGGATGTCTAGTCTGGGCTTTTGTTACTTAATTCAGTTTATCATTCAGCATTTTTCATCAGTCTTACATCAGACAAATTAAGCATGTTCCTACTTTGCTTATTCTGAGAAAAGTCTCTATCCACTACAACAGCTGCCTTAAGAAACTGAAACAGTCATGAGTTCAATGATGTTTAAAAATGATTACATTGTATGCACAGGGAAAAACTTGCATGAAGAAACTACAAGCATGGCAGCATGAGTACTTAAGTCATCATAACTAGGTTTCATCCATAAAGCTCAGCAACAATCTCTTCTAAAGTCGGTTTTTCAACTTTCTAGGTGTAATCTCTGTTGTTTAAAAATGACTGCAGCATTTAATCCTCCCCTCTGCTCTTATTACAGACATGTCAGCAGTGAGAGTTGTCAATTTCTTCCTCTCCTTCCAACATTTGAAAAAGTAAAACTGCAGGTGTAAGTGCTTTTTGCATGATCTGACAAGACTCTGTGACTCATAATGAAAATAATATAGCAGTGGGGCTGCTGCAATGACTAAGGAGACTGCCCTTAAGTGTAGCATACAGGTTAACCGCCTTCGTATAATCATATGGTACGCTCAAGAGCCCTTGAGCGAAACACCAATCCCAACCATCCCCAAAAGTGCTGCCCCGCTGCCGAACCTGATCTCTGACCTGAGACGAGTCCCTCAGACAGATAAATAACACATTTCATTATCACAGGATTCTTGTAAATGAACTGAAGTACCGCTGTGGGCATAGTGGTGGGTGTTTGTATGTGTGTTAAAAAAACGCTGGTGTTTAGTCACGCACAAGTGCCCAAGACATTACTAAAGAGATTAAGCTGGTGTCTGCTGTATGAGTGAGTATGAATGTGGGCTCACCTGGTATAAAATTGGAGTCAGGAGAACACAGCCTAGTCTCGCTGCTGTTTCCCGAGCATTGGTTGCCAGTGGGAAACAGGACATCACAGTGACGCACACGCAGCTGGGCCCCGTTGGAGTCACAGTGGGACCACTCTGACCAGCTGGACCAGCTCTCTGGAAGTAACAATGACAAATTATTTCAGAGCCTGTCCAGTGTGTGTCAGTGTGAGCATGTGCATTGCACTGTATGAATTTGTGTTCGCACTCCACTGCATATTAGGCATGCATAAGTATCCAGTGTGGACCCAAGTGAGACTAAATAAAATAAGAAATGAGCCTGTGATGGATTGGTGGGCGTGTCAAGGCTCTGAACTGCTTTTCACTGTGTGGATGTGTGTGTGTGTACCTGGACAGGACTGTGTGTTGCACAGTGCTTCCTCGGTGTGCAGGCCCAGGCAGATGTCCCCTCCGTAAGCCGGTGGTGGGTTGCTACAGGTTCGCGTCCTCATGTAGTGTCCCCCTCCACACGTCACAGAGCACTTAGACCATGAAGACCAGCATGACCAGCTGCCATCCACTAAACCCGGGATATCAGTGTCAAATTATTTATGTTAATACAAAAAACTGCATGATTTTGTTAGTATGAACAATTCTACATTAGGAGTTTATGTGGGGCAATAGAAAATAGCGATGACATTTCAGTTGTTTCAAAGAAAATATTCCCTAAAATCAGTGCTTTCAGGTTTGTCAAGTTTAAATTCCCAGTCATTTCAAAAGTCAGTTTCCTCTGAACATAAAGTTATTGAAAGTCATTCAATAACATTTCAGACAAAAAAACTACGATGCAGAAATATGCAGCAGTTTGAATATATGTAAATATGTGTGTGTTTGTGTGTGTGAAAGAGGGAGGTTTGAAGTGACAGGATGTTTGCTTCATCCAGCTGTTACAGCAAATGGCTGACCTAACACCCCGCCCCTCAAACTTAACAGCCTTTCCTCTGATTAATAAAGATAAATGAAGCATCACAATCTGTCGTTGTTGTTTCTCCCTTTATGTGGTGACAAGTGGCAAACAACAGACGGTTTAAAACATGAAAGTTCATGATAGAATTGGCACAGTGTAGACATGTAGTACTGTATAAATAGATGAATGGAGGGACAGAAGGAGATGAAGGAGAAATAAAAAGAGAGGATGAAAAAGCAATAAAATGGCACCATTCTTGGACCATGAATCGCAACTGAGGTGAATATTCTTCCCCAGTCACCTAGATAAGACCTCACTTTGTTGTGGCAGAGAGGAATTCCCCTTTCGGAACCACTTGAGAATTGCTTTTTAAAACCTGAGGATGGCTGGCAGCAATGCGCACGTAATTGAAGCTGCTGATGCTTTTTTGCCTTCTCAGTATAATTTCTCTATCACAAAGTGACAAAGAAGTCGATTCCTGGCCCTCGATGACGGATTGTCTCATCTCATCTCAGACGCAAGAAAAACATGGATTCATTTGTTTCCAAACTAGATGGATTGTAGAATTAAGACCTTTTCTTGCTTCTTTCTTGTTTCCTTTTCATGGCACGCTAACATATTTAAAAAGCACTGGATTAGCCATAGGAGGATTACAATTGGTCTACAGACACGGTCTGACTGCCTCAAAATAATATCTCACTTTCAGAGGGGTGCTAATTGAGTATAAATTAGTATTCATTGCTACTCCAGCTGGGTTAAGTCAGTTCCTCTGGGTGTCGAGTTGTTCATCAACATACAGTAGCAAAGGTATTATTACAGTCAACATCCCAGAATAGGTGTTCTACATGTATTAGCACAGTAATGCGGGGCAATAAAATCAAAGTACTAAAGGTGGACAGTTGTGGCAACCATACAGGCAAAGCCTTCCTTGAAAAAGTGAATCTAATGCTCCTAGATCCATCCAAAGTCTTCATCTGCACCCGCAGCTGTCAGCAGCTTACATTATTAGCGACTGTGCTCAAGCTGTTGTGGAGCTGAATGGCTTACACTTTCACTGAATGAATTAACAAGCTGTAAAAATAGTATCGATAGCTGTTCAATCTCCTGTCTCGTTTGCTTGCTTATAGCATGGCAGCTATTATGAAGACAGATCGTAGGTGCTAAAGATGCGCAGATCAGGGCTTTTAGTGAAATAACTTAGCCCTTCTTCGGGGGCTTGGTTAATAAACATCTGAGAGAATGTCCTGCTTGTCATCTTGGCACCTGTGCTAGATATCAGGTGTGCAATATGCCAAACTAAGCACTGGATTTTCATTTAGACAGCTTACTCTCCTTGTCAGACAGAGTATTCTTTTAATTAGAAAGCTCCCTCTTGCTGTCTTCTGCAAGAGGAGTGCTGAAATTGCAATGTCTCAGGGCTTTTCACAACAGAAAACGACCTCCCATATCTGGCAGCATAATTACCCAGCAATGTAATTACATACTGGAGCACCACAGGAATTGTCTTTTTGATTCCTGGTATAAATTGTGGTCTTCATCACACCTCTTAACTGCCATTGATTTCTTTTGTGATTCTTGATGATTTGGTAAGTCATTTTGTTACTGTAATATTTTATCCATTAATCAAGAAAAAAGATAGCTTGAGGATGATAAGGAGGAGTGTGTATTTATCTGTGTGAGTGGAACAACTCTTATCTCTCTGTGTCCTCTGTTTATTGTACCAGTGGTGTTTGTGTACAGTATGTACAGACATGTAGCATGCACATATGTGTGCATCTCTTACCTGGACAAGGGGTGATGTTACACTCCTGATACTCCTGAGCTGGCCCCAGGCAGGTCTGACCTCCGTACCGGGGCTCTGGGTTACTGCAGGCCCTCTTTCTGCTGCGAATTCCCCGGCTACAATCTCGACTGCACTGGGACCAGGAACTCCAGGACGACCAGCCACCGTTCACCGTGTGGCCTGAGATCCTCCCCAGACGAAGCACTTCACCTGTTTAGCGCATAGAGAAAGCACAACACTAATAATCAGACTTTTGTGATAACTGGACACTGCTGCAGTATCTCACACACATACACAGTTTTGTTAGTGTATGTCAGCAGTAAGACAACATTTCCAATAGACATAACAGAAAGCAGATAGTACTTGACCTCCCTGCCTGACATCACTGTGCGCATTTGTTTTGAGGAGAAAGAAGAGGACTGGGAGTCAATAACAGCTCTCGATAACAGTGACTGTGCCTTTACTCTTGCAGCTGGATGATACTCTAAAAGTTTGTGCTCAATTTGTACTGAAAGCTCAGGGTTTTGCACACACACTTTGTGGTTTTGATTGAAAAGTCTCTGCAAATATTGGATGGATTGCAACTGGTACATTCATGATCCCCTCGGGATGAATTGCCCTAATTCACCATGATGTCAGGTAGTAAACAGTGCGTTGCATTCTGTAATTGATAGGGGTCTCACAGGAAAAATAACAGCAGCAAAACTGAGAGTGAGATGAGAGTGGGTCTTCACTGCCTACAAATATTGTTGAGAACAATGATGTGATGTCATTGTGAACATTGGAATTTTGATTGTTAACTCTGGTGAGCTCTTAAGTTTTCATCTAGCGCAATTATGAAAGAAAGTTATGTTGTGTTAGGTCTTCAGATATGTCATGGCACCATAACAACCAACGTGGCTGAATGGGGATAAGACTGACAGCCATCTTAGTAACTGCAAGCAAACAAGGGGCCTGGGCTGTACGGTTGCCAATGAATATTTCTAACCTTACCAATGGTTTTAGTCAACGACATGGCCTCCATTTGTGCCCATGTACTGATGTCTGAAATTGAAATTAATGAAAATATTGACATACATTCGAGGATAGATTTGGTGGACCATCACTTAGTTATAGGTCTAGGCTGGGGGTCTCCCCATTTTATTTTAATATGCCACCTTTATAGTATGTCATTAACTGTGTCTCCTCTCTCCTGTAGTTTGTCCTCTCTCTCTCACTGTACCTTTCTACAGATATCCCTGGCTCCAGAGCTCTATGTTTCTGATGGGCAGTCACATTAACCTGCCCAGAGTTTGTCTGTTTGTTGTTCTGTTTTTGTTGTGTCCTGACGCATTTCTTCTTTTCTCCTTCCTCTATCCCACTCACCCCAAGGCAAGTTGAGGCAGAAGGCTCCTCACCAAGATCCGGGGTGTGTCTGAGGTTTCTTCTGTTAAAGGGAGTTTTTCCTCACCACTGTTGCCAAGTGCTTGCTTAAGGGGGATTTATTGGGTTTTCCTTATAATAGTGCAAGGTCTAGACCTTATGTAAAGTGCCCTGAGACGATTGTTGTTGTGAAGTGGTTCTATACAAACACAGTAAACGGATCTGAATTAAATCATCTGGTCAAAATTTCAACTTGTCCAGTGCTTTAGTTTATAATTAAACACTTGCATGACTAAAACTACTCCTATCAGCCACAGTTGTACTTTGTGTTTAATGCTAATAGGCAAATGATAGCTAACATGCTAAACATGGGTATAGATTGTTTTATACTGTCTTGTTTGTGTACTTGTGCTTTCAGGTATTTTTATACAGTGAGGAACAGAAGTATTTGAACACCCTGCGATTTTGCAAGTTCTCCCACTTAGAAATCATGGAGGGGTCTGAAATT